CGAGTACGACTCCATCATCACCATCTCCTTGAACGCTTCCGCACTCGATCTACAAGTGGTATGTAGATGCAAACTCACTCCCTTGACTCGTTGCTTAGATGAACTCATAGATGGATCTTGGCAAAACCGTAGAAAAATTTTAATTTTCTGCAACGTTCCCCAACAGATAAAGCCACAAGACGGTTAAAGGAGACGACATGAGGGCTACATACTTATACACAGGTTAACCGACGTGGTGTATTGAACCTCAGTTATAATTTAGAAGATTCATATTGTGGACTATCGAAGCATCCTACCGCTTATTTTGCTAGAAGAATATACAATACAGTCTAGATTTTAAGACATGACCAACAAATGCACAAGGTAAGCATGTACCTAGCAGGCATTGACATGAATATTACATAGTAGCACAACTAAGTAGAGCGTAAAGTTGCATGTCAGTCCTAATGTTTGGTTCATGTTAAGATGTAGACCTTGGAGGTACACGGACTAAATACTCAAGTTCCATGGTAGTCACAGTAGCTCTTTAGATATAAAAAAAATATAGGAGTTCTCTGAAGAAAGAAAAAGAGGTGCAGACCACAAACTTTACACTAAATACTCCAGTTACACGTCGGTCCTAGAGCTTGGTTCATGTAATCAAAATCGCCAGACTAAAAGAAGGCTATTCTGAAACTACATCACCAGAATCCATTTAGTGTCACCGTATACACGAAGGTGCCATTTACACAAGTGTCACCGTATACATAACGATCTGCACCCACAAGCTATTTTAAGATCACAGTGCCGCTGTCAAAATTCACAAAGTGCCAATGGTGGTTAAGTTATGTATAAATTAATAGAAAGTCCTAAACATATTTATCCTAAGATCAGAGTGCAGCTCACAAAAGTGTCTTCCAGTCAGAAAGGAATTGGCAAATAAAAAAATGCCAATGTCAGTTAATGTGCCAATTTAATTCATACAACAAGGTGCTACAATGAACAAAATACATATCTGCTAACCCAAAAATTTGTTAACTGCTACAAAGTTCTAAGGGGGAACATGATTCACAGATGGCTTGATGAACTATAGGAAGTGTGTGTAAATCTCTCATGCAAGAAAGAAAAGAGAGGTCGGGAGAAGAGATAGAAGCTCATACCAGCAGAGGCGGATCTCAGGTCCGCAGGGGTGGCACGAATTGGTCCGGCGAGCCGCGTGGTGCTCAGGGGTGGCGAACAACGAGGGAGAAGAGGGGCGGTCGTGTTGCCTCTACCGAGCACCGTGGAGTAGGAAGGGGAGAAGTGAGACCGGTGAGGAGAGAACCGCACGCCCTCCACAGCTCGCAGAGGAAAACGCCGGGGACTCGATCTGCCGGTGCTCCTCGCCTCCCTCGGTGGATCAGGAGCAGCTCCGAAGGGCGACCTTGACAGGGGCAGGGATGATCAGGGCAACAAGTAGGCGGCCACCGGAGGCGAGGTCCACCTCCACCACCGAAACCCTAGTGGGGGAAATCGAAGAGGGCGACCACAGGAGGCGAGGAAAAGTAGATCGACGCGGTGAAGGTGGTAGAGCTTGTCGAGGAGCGGTCGTGCGTGTGTTGGGCGGCGCCGGAGCTCACTGGAGCAGCCGGAATCGGACGGCGACCGAGGCGGCGACGGCGGATCGAGCGAGTGGGCGGGAGGTGGGGACGGGAGGAAGAGGCGAGGAGTTGCGCGAGTGCGGGAGTGAGGCGGCTAGGGTTATCTCCATGGGAGCCATCAATTTATAGCATCGTATGCAAAATGACAAAAATGCCCCTCGGCGGGGCAGGCTATTTACGTGTGGTGGCACGACCAGGGTGAAACTATTCATTGCTACAGGAGCACCACCTCCATCCGACAGGTGAGGTCGTCCCAGGGCTCGATCCGACGGCCCAGATTGTATAAAGCAAAATGATCCTACAGCCAGAAAGCCCAAATCGCTGAGGAGTCGGCTTCCTGCTTGGATTCTTGTTTCTGGATAGGCTAGGTGTTTAGTCATCTTGATCTGCTTTCACCGGTTGTGGCAACTTTTATCTTCATTTTATTTTCACTCCTTATGAGCTTGTACTGAACCGCAAACCTTTTGGATATGTTGCTTAGTAATATGGTTGCATGCATCATTTTGATGCAGAGGCCAAGGTGACCCTCCTTTTCAAAAAAAAGTGAGTGCATCCTTTCTGTCAGTTCATCCTATCGATATTCATGGTCAAGCTAGTATATCAAGGACCTAAACGCCTTGCAGTAGCCTGTTTTCATACTCCCTCCGTCCTAAAATTCTTGTCTTAAATTTATCTACATACGGATGTATCTATTTACATTTTAGTATTAGATACATCCGTATCTAGATAAATTTAAGACAAAAATTTTGGGACAGAAGGAGTAGATGTTAGCAGAACTCTCACAAATGTTTGTACTTGAGCGTAAAATAAAATATACGTACTTAACAAATTAAGATAATAAATATCATCTTAAATCCTTCTTTACAAGTTTTTAAACCTTTCTTTTATATCTTTTTCTTGCAACAATGAATTAGATCTATTATAATGATTCATCAGAAGCATAAATCATCCGAAATATAATAAAAATTATGTCAAGGCCCCTGAACCATCAAATGACCATTGATGTTGCTAGAACGAGTTGTCGACGCGTTGTTGCCGTCGCCCCCATACTGGAGCCGGACTGACCTTGTCAATACAGTCGGGAAGTCTTGGTGACCAGGTGATCCCAGCGAGAGTGCACTTTTGAAGTAAACAGACGGAAGAATTGCACCCAATGCATCGCCCACCTAAATGTCAGTGTCAGTAGTGAGTTCGTAGAGGGACTGTAAGTCCATCCAGAGAGGCTCGGTGCCCATCCACGAGTCCAGCTAGAAACGTGTGCATTTCCCGTTATGAACGTGCAATTGGGCCCCTATCGCAAAAGCTGGTTTGACCGCTTGGATCCTATTCCAAAAGGTCGATCCACTCTTTGAGGACTCAAAGAAAGTGTCGTTCGGGAAATATTTGGCTTTAAATAAGTCTACCCAAAAGCCTGAAGCATTCTGAGTTTCAAATACACTTGGTAAGAAGGGCTTGTCTCAAAAAAAAACTTGGTAAAAAGGGCTACACAAAAAACCTGATGACAATTTTTTAAACATGTCAAATTTGACGTTTTTCATGACAATTTATATTGACGCGATGGTAAAAAAATTAGTTCGCAACCATGACAATTTTCTGATAAAAGAATAAATTGAGTCAGATTTGTCATTTTCGCCAACACTTGCCATCCTCGTGGAACATTATTTGTCACAAAAAAGGTTCGATTTTTTAGGGGTATAACCAAGTTATATTGCTCAGAATCCACATGATATGGGATACAAAATGTATCACAGGGTTCGACCAACCAGACATGTCGCCCCTGATCAAGAGAATGCAAAAACTTGGCTAACCTATCAGGGTCACTATTAGCAGTTAGGCCTTCAAAGGAAAATGCAATTAAACAATTGAGACCTATTATTAATCTCCTAATGTTCTCATGTGCTTCCTGACTTCCTTTCTCTATGTCTTGACAATCTGTTTCGAATCTTAGGCTACAACAAAATTTTGGAGCATGAGACCTTCCGCTAGATATAAAGCCTCCAGACATGCAATAGCTTCTAGTGTGGTTGCATCATCTATGACATAAATTACCAAGGAGAAGCTTCCCATATAATTTCCTTCTCCATCGCAACAAACAGTTGCCGCACCCCTCATCTGATTTCTTGCAGTGGCCGCATCCACATGTATTTTCATATATCCTGGTGGGGGTGTCTTCGGTCCCACCCTTGTTCTGCCCAGCAACCCAATGGTTTTGGAACTTTTCGCCTGCTTCATATTCAGCTCATCAATGAATCTGCATATAAACCCATGTGTGGCTGATGGACTCTGAAAAATCTCATCACGAATTGCCTTTCGACATGCCCATCAGATGGCCTAGAGTGTGACAACCAATCTTACAAACGAAACATTTGATAATACATCTATCATTTAGAATTCCACTGTCTCGCGCTGGGTTCATTTGTCTCGCACGGGTGTTCTGCTAAATCTCCATCAACCAAAGCCCGCACGCATCTAGCCAGCGAACACTCTAGCAAAGAGTGTCGCCAAGAATCCTCCGCACCACACATACCAAATATACTCGTAGTTGACATGTTCCCGTGAGCTCTGAAATCTTCTGTGGGGAGAGAATATTTCACCAAACGCTAGAAGAACATTCTTCTTTTACCTGGGAGCAGAGTTTTCCACAATAATTTCCATGAAGCCGAGTCATGATCTGTACTGGAAGATCCCGACAAACCATCCAGTCAAGCCCCTCTCCTCATCTTAGTATCTATCATCATTCTATACGCGGATCTCACGGTAAGCATCCCACTTTTCTCAAAGTTCCAAGCCCAACTGTCAGCGATGTCTGTTGTGCAAAGAGGTATGCCGGCGATGGCAAGGATATCAATCGGCAAGCACAATGCCTCCAATCTTACACGATTGACGATCCCATGTAGCAGATGCATGGTCAATAAGATGTGACGCAAGTTCGGGAGGGTTACCAACCCTGCACCCGTAAGGTCTCATCATAACATCCCTATAGATATATATTTGTCCAACCAAATGTTAGTCGTCTCTCCGTTACCTATTCTTTTTATAAGACCTTGTTTCAGTATGTCTCGGCCTTCAATTATTGACCTTCAGATTTGGCTTGGATGACTTCACAGTTCGGCATTGATAATTGATTAGGGAAATAGACACTGCGCAGAATTCTCGCACTGAGTGATTCAGGAATTGCCAACAAAAAAAGGTTTGATTGTCATGTAAAAAATATTAGGTCAGATTTGAGGTCGAGTGGAAAAAAACGATGATATGGCCCACGAGGCCACGATCAGGGTTCAGGGGTCGTAACAAAAAGGAACCGCCACGCTCAGGGGATCTGGCGGCCGCCGAACGCACCGCAGCGGCACGCCATCCTACCGTTTTCGCTCCTCGCTGCCAATGGAACCCAGTCTGGTAGCAGAGGCGCTCGCCGCCCACCCGGACGGCGGGCGCGTCACGGCGGCGGCGGTGGTCGGCTGCATCTGCCTCGACCACCTCGCGTGCGCCGAGTGCGACCGCATCCTCGGCATCACATTCCTCGCGATCGACGCACGGCCCTCGTCCCCACGGCGCGCGTCGACGCCGGGATCAGCCTCAGGCTCAGGCTCGCCGCCCGTCCCCATGGCGCGCATCGGCGTCGGGCTCAGGCTCGGGATCGGGCCGCGCACAGGCGGAGATGGGGCCCAGGCCGAGCAGTTCGACGCGTCCATCTCCGGCATGACGGAGCGGCTCGGTCTCGCGGCCGCCGTCGGGGATCGGGCCGAGGAGGTGTTCCGGAAGATGGAGGAGGCGAGGGCGTGGCCGCGCGGCCCGGGCTGCCGCTGGGGCAAGGGCCGGTCCCGCCGGGACATAGGCAGGCTCTACGCGGCCTGCCTCTCCATCGCGTGCCGCAACCAGGGCTCGCCGCGGTCGCTGAGGGAGCTGGCCATGGCGGCGGCGGACGGCAGCGCGGCGGCGAGGAAGGAGATCGCCAAGCTGATCGCGCACATCAGGAAGCGCCTGGGCGAGGAGGAGGCCGGGCAGGCGGCGGGCGTCGGCGTGGTCCCCGTCTCCGGCTGCCTGCGCCGCTTCGGGCCGCTGCTGCGGCTGGGGGACCGGGAGGCGGCGGCGCCGTTGGAGGCCGCGCGGAGGCTGGAGGAGGGCGCCCTCGACCTGCGGCACAACGCGGATGCCGTCGCGGCGGCCGTCGTCTGCATGGCCATGGAGCGCGCCGGCGCCAGGAGGCACATCAGGGACGTGGCGACGGCCACCGGCATCTCCTATTTCTGCGTCGACATCGTGTGCAGGAAGCTGCGGCCCCACGCCGCGCTGCTCTTCGACTGACGCACGCGCCGCCATGGTTTCGTCGGTGCTCTTCTCCTGGCAATCTGGAGTACGTACTAGTACCATGTATGATCCCGTAGCGTCCGAAAACTATTCCTCGGTCCAGTGCACCTACTTGCTTGATTATTATTACTACGCCGCTTAGTTATTTAATTCGGAACTGCTGTAGGGAGATGATTTGTAAATTATCAGTTAAACTCGTCGACGTGAATCCTTTTCTAGATAAGTTAATCCTACTGATCCTCGCAAAAAAAAAAGTTAATCCTACTGATATTCAGAGGAGTCGAGCCAATCAAGGACCTAAACGCCTTGCGGTAGCTTGTTTTCAAAGATACTTCTTCACAAGTTTTTAAACCTTTCTTTTATATATATATATATCTTGCGACAAGGACTCGTATAATTATAAAGATTCACGAGAAGTACAAAAGCATCCCAACTATATAATAAAAATTATGTCAAGGCGAGAGCGCCGTCTAATCCGTCCTGATGAACAAATTCAAAGAGGATCAAAAATCAAAAGACCAACTTGAAGATAAGCACGCCCCTGCGAGTACTAAAACCGTAATCTGTCCGCTAGAATTCTCATCCTCGCCGCCGGCCATTGGAGCAACAGGCAGAGGGAGGCGAATCCACAGACTCGCCGGCGGAGATAAAGCGGGGAGAGACTTTTCTAGTGGTCTTGCGAGAGGGGAAAGAAAGATATTTTTTTTTCTTTTATACCCTTGACAAGAAGCTTGTGCGTCAACGTGATTCAGCAAAGGACCCCCACAAAGTCTTTTTTCACGTTGCTATGATATGATGAAAGGCTAAACAGTTTGTTCTTGCAAGCATGCATGCTACTCCTTACTAGTATAGGCAAGCAGCAGCACATGGCGCCGGAGCGTTTGTTCATGCAAACATGCGTGCTATCGCTATCGCTATCGCGAGTAGCAACACACCACAACTATTCTCCCCCCACAACACACTTGGTTGCGGAAAGCCTCTTTTCATTCTTCCCTCCAAACTTGCAACTTCCACGAAGCTTCGCCCTCTCCGATTATGTATGTATACGCAGGTGCCCAGCATGACACGGTCCCTGTTAAATCCTAGTACGACCCACGCAAAAATAGAAAAACTCTCTTGATTACGGTACACCTACAGGCTACACTCCTCTGTAAAGTTAAGCTTTCAAAAAAAAAGATTAAGCCTTGTGGCTTGTCCCACCCTTTCAAAATCTCTTGACTATGATAGGTCTCATTTGTAATATTAAGGGTCTTGGCCGACCTAAAAAGAAAATCAATGCCTTTGCGATACTGCGTATTTCTAAAACTAATCCTGACTTTATTGGGTTTCATTCATCAAAGAAACAAAAGGAGAGTTGATTTCTGAGGCTTTCCTCAACTCACTCTATTCTTTATAGATTTCTATATTTCCAACATCAAAACTATTGGAAATTTAACGATCGGAACCAACTGGAATAGACAGGATCAAACTAAACATAGGCAGCCATTAAGGGGCTCCTCAACTAAGACCGATTTTGAATGAACATTCCAGGTTGCAAGATCTTGTCTGATGCTGCATGTAAAAACCGCTGCTGAACCAACTCTGCAGGTCCCAATAGAACAAGGGCTTGGAGTTTCTCTCCAGCATGAATGATGGTGCCTCCAGAACTGATCTTCTGATCTCTCGGGCCACAATTTATTTCGAAACGAAGGCAAAAGATTTGCCTCATCCATTAATCAAGCAGAAGAGAATTGTCCAATTAATCAACGGAAAACCGGGCGAAAATCGTCACAAATCGCTGAGCGGCACACCAAGATATCCCACGTACACCTTTACAAAGAGTGTCTTGTCAAGCTAGCACACAAGTGTCATCATCATTACTTCTCCCCAAACAGGCGTCATCGCCATCCCTGATCCCTGAGCAAACGACTCCGACTTCTCCGTGGACGAACGTTGAACCAACACTCACCGCAGAGGCTGAGTAGGAAAACATGAAGATCCATGCCAGAACTCAACCACCCGCATCGAGGGCTACACGGCTCTGGCTCTGAAGCAAAGATCCAAAGGAGAACTATGCAAGACTGTCGTCGTGGAAGACCACCGAACGGACCACGTGCTGCATGTCATCGTTGCCACAGGGGCCCCGCCGCCGCAGCTCCGACTTCACCACAACAACCAAACCGAGATAATCCCAGGAACACGCCGAAGAAGAGCCGACTACCACTGCAATGTCTCCGACTTCACTTGCCCTATCGTCGTTGCCACAGAAGCCTCGACGCCACACCAACGCATACCACCAACCTCCCAACACACCAGCTGGTCCCTCTGACCGGATTGAACTCCAAAACCGATGCCCTCGAGAGGGAAACGACGCCAACACGCCGCCAACGACCGACCCTCCAGGTCTTGGGGTTTCCCCCGGAGTTGTCCCTCGCAGAGGAAGAGAGAGCATCCTGTCGACGCCTTCAAGAAGGTTACGGCGTCCACAGACGCCACCGTCACAGGTCCGGCCATGGCCAGAGACGGGTTTTCAACCAGCCCTCGTAATCCTCCGGTCGACAGCCAATCCAGCAGCCCACCTTCCCTCGCTGCATCTCCATCAGCAGGCACCAGAACCATCAGCGGCCGACCGGACCCATGACCGCCGGACGCAGCGAGCCACCATTCCATGCCGAGCACCATGCTGGGAAGGAACAGATGAGCACTGCCCGAGGCCAGAAACCACCGCGGTTCCGAGCCACAGCCAAACATCAGGGGCACCGGCGAGCACCATGCACGCCGAGCACCCGCAGGGACCAGATCTGTCGCGCCCGCTGCACGTCGCCTCGAACCCGTTGCTGGCTGCACGCCTCGTCGGAGACCATTGCAGCACCTAACGCCCGAGCTGCCCATCCACGCCCGAGCTCCATGCCCACCACGCTCGAGACCCCCGCTCGCCCCTTGCACGCATGCGTCGTCGTCGTGGCCTCCCTGAACGCCCGTGCCCCCGCAATGGGCCCCCTGCGCGCTCCGCCCGCACACCACCAGATCCGGGCGTGAGGGCCCCGGATCCGCCGCTCCCGCTGGAGGGGAGAAGCTCCAGGCCGCCGGCGCAGAGCTCGCGACGACCACAGGCCATCCGCACCCTGGAGAAGAAGCCCCGCCGCCGCCTCTGCCACACGGACTTTGCCCGGCGACGTGTCCCGACGGCGGCGAGGAGGGAGACGACGGAGGGGCCGGCTGCCGGAGGGAGCCTGGGTCGCCGCCCGTGTCGCTCGTGTGGAGCGACGCGGGGGCTCAGCACGCATGTGAAACACACAACAATGTTTGTTCCTCTCGGGCCACAATGAAAATGCAGGTTTCCTCTACACTCTACAGGCTGTGGCAATGGCCCTCCTCTTGGCAGCAAAAATTGCCAGCAGCCAACATGGACATTAGATCCAACCCTGATCAATTGAAGATCGGGTGTCATCTATAGCTGTTTTCTTTTCAAATCCCCGATGACTCCAGATAGCATGAAGCCGAATTTGAACAGCAATCCTACCTTTCACTGTTGTCATTCAGCTCATAGTGCTTCTCAATCTCGTATGATTTCAAAGCTAGGAAACTTCCATGTAAATAAAGGATTTCTAAATCCTATCTGTAAACTGTGTTCAAATGTAGCAACATAGGACGCCTCCCGCTACAAGTGGTTCTGGCCGGTCTCTCGCAATCAGCAAAGCGCTCCAATAAGTTTCCAACCACAGCAAATTCATCACATAAAAAGTACAGCGCAATGAGCAGAACACGAAGGGCAGAACAATAAAAGGGAGATGGAAACATATTTATAGGCCAATACTCTACTTCCTGTGAGATGATCATAGGCATGGAGCCATAATTCTGCAGACTACTCCAGGTATACAAGTTAATTTCGAAACACTGATCAAATTAGAAATATAATACAGCAGCTATCTAGACAAGCAACAATGCATCACCAGCACACAGTAAGCATAACATCCCAGGAATTATGAAAACCCAAAACATGCAAACAATCAATATCTCATTCAGGTTCACAATTAAAATATGGCAGTCAAGAAGATCAGCGATAAATGTCACAAACGACGCCATGAACAGCTGAAATATGCTCAAAACCGTCATGTCAGGGATAGGAGAAAACATATGCTAGGGATTATATTTTCAATCACGACAAATTCCTCACATAAAAAGCTGCTAACGGCACATCGACAAGAGAATACAAAGAACAGAACAATAGCTAGTGAAGTGATAACAGGAATTAGATAGGAGAAAAACATGACATGGATTTGTCCCCAGCAATAAACAGATGTTTCTCACATTCAGCAAGCATTCCACTATTTCCAATCACAGCAATTTCATCACGTAATAAGGTGATGACGGCACAAAAATCACAGAACACAAGGAGCATAATGGATCATTCTGCCCCGCCTCCCCAGAAGGCAGAGTTGCCACTGATTATCATCATCCCAATACTGGTAAATTCAATGACTGTCCTTTACTGTTACTAGTCTATGTATACGCCTACTTGTGCTAGAGGCAACATAGCAGTTGTTGATAACACGAGTGATCAACCAATAGGTCAATACTCGGCATGTCCTCTACTGCATTTCCAATCACAGCAATTTCACATAAACGCTGCACAGCAAACAATCCCAGAATGCAGAACAATAACCGATGAAGTAATAAGAACAGAAATTAGATGCAGCAGCACAATAGGTGGCTCACGTAGTCTTCACATATTATTACCATGGTAAGGCAAAGTGCATAAACGATAAGGGCTCGCGATAAGTCCCAAACTCTGCAGATTCATCAAGCTACTAACCAGCAGAACGTAAATCCATAACACTACCAGTCCAGTAATAACAGCGCCACCGACACCGACAGAAAAGGATTATCCAGTCTCGTATGAGCCATACATAGCAGCAGAGCAAAAACTTCCAGCGCCTCGTTTTGGAGCACCAGATTACCTCTTGAGGTTGAGGAGAAGCACCGCGATGGCTGCAGTGGCGGCGGCTCCGGCAGCTGCGGCCGCGGCCACCTTCCCGTGAGGCGCCGGCAGACCTTCCTTGGCCGAGGGAGCGGCAGCAGCCTCCTCCTCGTCCGCGGCAGCGGCGGCGGCGGAAGCCTTGAGGGCCTTGATCTCCTCCTCGAGGGCGAGCTTCTCCTGGTGCGCGGTGGCCAGGTCCCCGCCGGCGCCCCCCGGGCCGTCGGCGCCGCGGTCGGTGCTGTCGAGGAGGCCCTGGAGGCGCTTGACCTCGGCGCGGAGCCCGGCGGCCTCGCCCTCGGCCTTGGCGGCGGCGCGGTCGGCGGCGGCGATGTCCTCGCGGGCCCCGGCCACGAGCGCGTCGAGGCGGGCGGCCTCCGCGGAGAGGAAGGCGTTCTCGTGGCGCACGGCGGCCAGCTGCTCCTCCAGGTCGCGCTTGGCCGCGCGGAGCGCGTCCATCTCCTCCGGGTCGTAGGCCTTGGCGTGTCCCCCCTCGCCGTTGGTGAGCGCCGGGCCGAAGCCGAAGCCGAAGTCCGCCGCGGCCGCCGTCGGGGACGCGAAGGTCTCCTCGCCGTTCTCCATCTCGCCCGCCGAAACCCTCGCCGCCTCCTTCCTTCCTCTGTCTGTCTCTAGGTCGCGCCGCGTGTGCCGTGCGCTGGATGCGAGGGTGGACAGGAGCTCCAGAGGGAGCATATATCCTGGGCCGGAAATGCGATCCCCGACGCTCCGATCGCACGGTCGCGAAACACCCTCCCCGATCGGACGGCTGACGGTGTGCGGCGCATTGAAAAGCCAGGGTTGCGGGTTTTTTTTTCTTTTGATAGAAGGGTTGCGTTGCGTCCACGGGGGAAAAAGCAGAGGAGGATTCCATCTCCCCCACTCGGCCACTCCCCATCCCACCCCACCCCACCGCCGCGGGATCCACTGCGCTGCGGCGAGGACGACGGCGAGGCGACCCCGGCCCTGCGCACCAGGGGCGCGATGGTAAGATCCGCGGCTCGCTTCCTGTGATTCGTTGACCGTGTGACGATCTCGGCCTGTAGCGCGCGCTTAAATCTTAGGGTTCTTAGGGTGTTTCCGGCGATCTGTGGGTTGTGGACTGGTTCACTGGTTGGCGTCGTATGCTGCGTCTCCCCGTGTTGACGTGGTGCGGTTGCTTTGATGTCTTGGCCGGTGGCTGGTGTCTCGTGCAGATTCAGCTGATGCTGGTTTCGGTAGGCCGAGGAATCCTGTGTAGTACGTATGGCAAGTGCGCCACGAGATTTTGCTTGCTACTCCGATTAGGAAGCGAGTGAGGGGCAGACACGGGTTTGTCGGCGTGCTGATTTTGGCGTCGAGTTATCGTTAGGGGCCATACTTGTTTGCTTTGTGGCATGTATTTTTGTCAGGCGAATGAAGGGGCGGCAAATTGATGGTTACAGCACCACCTGGAATTGTTTTATGTTCTTGGAGTCCAATTGGCTGGCCTTCTGTGATTTTACTTTGCTACTTCAAATAGGAAGTGAGTAAGGAGCAGACATGAATTTTTATCAAGCGAGTGAAGGGGCGGCAAATTGATGGTTACAGCATGAATCCTATTGGCTGGCCTCCTGTGATTTTGCTTGCTACGTTGAATAGGAAGTGAGTAAGGAGCAGACATGGGTTTGTCGGCGTGCTAATTTTGGCGTTGAGTTGTCCTTAGGGGCCATACTTGTTTGCTTGTTGGCGTGTATTTTTGTCAAGCGAGTGAAGGGGCGGCAAATTGATGGTTACAGCTCCACCTGGAGTTGCTTTGTGTTGCTGGAACCCAGTTGGCTGGCCTAAAAGTGGGTTGTGCAGCATCTTGAGTCTGGCAGTGTTATTTGTGCCACCAGTGGCACTTCGTCTGATGATACACGCAGATTTCTTCATAAGAATCAGCTCTTCAATATACTGCTTTCAGACGAAGTATATACGGTTGAAATTTGCATGCAAGCTTAATCCTGTGGAATCTAAACTAGCTGGGTGCATTGATACGTTTTAACTGTAGGTTGATAGTCTATTGTATATTAAGCACATCAAATGTTCCATCTTCAAGACTTCAAAATTACTGTTAGTACCGGAGGAAAGAAAATGGTTTAGGCATTGTGTGGAGCACGGGAATTTTTCCTTAAGACTGCAGGAAACGTAGGGTTTCCCGTGAAATTTGTGCTCTTAAAATATGCCTTTAACTCTATCCATACTACTGGTATTGTTATAATGGTCTACTACATACCATCTGTTGAAAGCGAGATTCTTCTTGGTAGGCTGACCATGACCCAGAGTTGGAGGCCATCAGGCAGAGGCGAGTGCAAGAGCTAATGGGACAGCGTGGTGGTGCGGTAAGTTACTTAAGTGCATGGTGAAAGTTGAATCTGTACTCAAAAATTGTGCATTTTTCTTGATTTGCTGACTGGAATGTAATGATTAACTTCATAATTATAGGCAAGCCCACAAAATGCAGGGCAACAAAAGGCTCAGGAAGATGCAAAGCAGTATGGTCTTATTACCACCATATTCCCATGATTATCTCATCATCCATCTTACGCTATGTCATATGAAGCTTTAGGAGACACTGAGCTGACTTTGTATCTCAAACTCAACCAGGGAAGCTGAGGAACGCCGACAGATGATGCTTTCTCAGATACTATCTTCTGAAGCTAGAGAAAGACGTAAGTTCCCTTTTAATGTCATTTCTGTTGTCTACGATGGTTGTTTTTTATTTACAGCCAAATAATTCAAGCCAGAGCACTTGCTTTTCTTAACAACTGACAAGTTCAATCACTTAACAGTCTACCACTAAGCAATATGGAAAACGTTTAGGTGTTTCAGAAAATTTCCTGCGGTTCTTCAAGTAGTTTTCTTTTAGGGAGTAAATATTCTAATTAGAGATGACGCCAGGCTGGGAAATAACCATGAGTCTTTGAAGTTGCATAATTTAAGCGGAAAATGTAATTTAATACATCTGTACTCTGTAAAATTGGCAGTCTCCCGCATAGCTTTGGTCAAGCCTGATAAAGCAAGAGGAGTGGAGGATGTTCTGCTGAGAGCTGCACAAACTGGTGGAATATCTGAAAAGGTAATACCGTAATAGATATGTGTTTCTCTCGTATGTCAACATATTCGGTAGAACTTGCTTGAAACAAAATTGCATTTGCTTGTCTGCAGGTGTCTGAAGAAAGGCTTATCTCACTTCTGGAGCAAATCAACAGCCACACAAGCAAACAAACCAAAGTGACGGTACGTACATCAGTAGGTGTTGTGGCCTGTATCGATTCTTAACACAAGACATATAGTTGCATAAAGAGAGTTCATTACATTAAAGAAAATCTACTTTGCTTCCAGTAGTGGGTTTAGGCTTAAGCTCTATTAGAATTCCATATCATGGCCTTGCAAAGTTCTCTGCATCTGAAAACTATCCAACTAAAACGCAGTCAGCTTTTATATCACCCTTTTCCTTCCATGCTAACTCTAGTATGTTCAACAGATTCAGAGGCGTCGCAACGTCCTTGACGACGATGACTAGTTGGTAAGCTTGATGTACGAGCGAATGGGTGCAGCGGCATTTGGTGCTTGATTCAACAACCGTCAGAACCTGACAAACTATTTGATTGGTCTTGGGTTGTATATGATCTGGATATTATTTGGTGGGGTTTTTCATTGATAACAGTTGGATGTTCGCTTCTACCCCTGAAACTCTCTGCGACACTTTTGAGTTGTTGTGGTCAATTTATCAAGTCCTATCAGATAATGTTAATCTGCACGGGTTCCTCCTGTGCAATGTGATGTCTGTCTCAGGTTGCTCCTAAGTTCTTCATGTGCAATGTGATGTCTGTCTCAGCTTGCTCCTAAGTTCTTCATGTGCAATGTGATGTCTGCAACTCAGTGATTAGATGGTCCTCCTTACTACGCCTGTGCAATGTGATGCCTACTTCGGCTGGCTACTACACTACGTGGATTCCATGATTCTCCATCAGTGACAACATGGATATAGTTGATAGAGGAGTCGAGTTCCGACTGCATCACTCGTGTTTGTGCGTACATTTATCCACATGCCCTGTATTGGCCATGAAGTGTTTAGCTGAAGGTTTAATGCAAGGAAAATAAGTGCAATCCAAGAATGTAGTAAAGACGGGTGGATTTGGTAATGCAAAATATTCTGGATCGGATTTGTCATGTGCAATTCATCCGAACGTCCTTTGCGCCGCAGCAGCTTGGAACCAGATTTGAATCCAAGAACACTCTGGTTGCAAACTGCACAAGGTTGTTCACAGAGCAGCTCACATTTGCCATTTTCAGGATTCAGAGGATAATACCAAACTGCTGCTGCCAACTGATATACATACTGCAAAGTAAACTACTGTACCTTGAGAACAGGACAGGGTAAGGCAAACCGTTGGGTTGTTCTTATCCTGCCACGTTAAATGACCATGATCCTCAATAGCAGCAGGAAATTAAGCCCGACTGATTGAACAAGACTGGGTTCTGCGCCTAATGCAGAAACAGAACCTACTGGGGCATCAGGAATCTGGAAACACAAATTACATTGCTACGATAATTATGAAAGCACAGACATGGCAGGGACTAGCTCAAGAACCTAGCAAGAAATCAAATCCCTACTGCATAAATGTATCACTATTTCTCAGTCTCGGTTTGCACCAGTGAATTCAGATCTTACTACCAAATTCCAAATTCCATAAACGAATCTCGGTTTTTATTACCACTGTTTGCAGATAACCAGAGTTCAGCAACCAGAATACAAATGGCCAGACATTTCAGAAGGGTCAAAAGCTAACATCAGTCAGGCAAGATCACTAGTACAGATATAGGAACACAACTTGAGTTCTAGATAGATTTCAGTTTGCCAAAGCAGCAACTTGAGTTCTTACTACAACCAACGAGCCAACAAAGCGTTGGCAATCACCCAGCACAGGTACTGCTACCGCTACTTGCAGATAGATAGATAAGCAGAGTACAGATACAGAAACCAACTACACGCCGTCAGTCTAGGAGGAGGTGAACTTGGTGACGGCCTTGGTGCCCTCGGAGACGGCGTGCTTGGCGAGCTCGCCGGGGAGGACGAGGCGGACGGAGGTCTGGATCTCCCGGGAGGTGATGGTGGGCTTCTTGTTGTACCTCGCGAGCTTGGCGGACTCGCCGGCGAGCTTCTCGAAGATGTCGTTGATGAAGGAGTTCATGATGGACATGGCCTTGGAGGAGATGCCGATGTCGGGGTGGACCTGCTTCAGCACCTTGAAGATGTAGATCTTGTACGTCTCGACGCTCTTCTTGGCCTTGCTGCCCTTCTTCCGGCCCCTCGTCTTGGCCTCGCCGCCGGCCTCCTTGGACGCCGTCTTGCCCGCCGGCAGCCGCTTCTCGGCCTTGGGCTTCTTGCCGGCGGGGGTTTTCTCCGCCGCCTTCTCCACCTTGTTCTCGGCGACGGTCTTCTTGTCTGCCTTGGGGGCCATGGCTGCCGCTTCGGGTGGGATTGGGAGCTCCGGTGGTGAGATGTGTGAGTTTGCTGGAGGCAGGGAAGATGGGGACTGAGATTGTGGGGAAAGGAGGAGATGGGTGCTGGATTTTATAGGGGAGAGAGCTGCGCGCTGATTGGTGGACGGGTCAGTGCCTCGGATCGCTGACGTGGAGCGACGGTATGGCCCACTCTCGAACTGCTGCAACGCAAAGCATCGTTTGAAGGGAACCAGGGGTGAAAACTAAACATGGACACCGCGGATCGCTGACGTGGACACACTCCCAAACTGTTGCAAAGGCATCATGCCCTTGAACGGGCCTTTGCTTGACAAAGCCCGAAGCAAGAATACCGAACCCGGATCCGGCCCGGCCAGAAACATTTGAACAGTACAGTTTTTAATAGTTCTTCTCTTCTTCTTCTAAAAAAGAAGTTCTTAATAGTTCTAAAAAAAATACAGTTCTTAATTAAAGTAATTAAATTTAGGTTATTTAAATATAGAACTATACCTGTTTTTAGATTAAAACAATTATTTAAAACTCATTCGGTTTTTATTCGGACTTTGGACAAAAATGTCGAGCCCATGCATGGACTGGATGCCGGGCTTTCGGGTCAGGCTCGTCGGGACGAGCTGCCCATGAATAGCGCTATTGAAAATGGAGCGGATGCAAATTGAATAGTGTTCTTCTACGTGGGTGCCGGTCCGCAAGGTGTACAACAATTCTCGAACCTTTGGTCCGCCGTCAGTAACATACAACTAAATAGTGCTATCCTGGATGTTTTCTCGTGGAGGTGGAGTTCAACTGGACAGTACTCGACGCAATCTACCTACAAAATGCTATAAGAGGGCATGATTCGTTTGCCCACTGCTCACTGTGTCCGGGAAAGATAGCCGCCACTTAGATGCAAAATATTCATATGGCTTGCTATTTAATACCGAGTATGGACCTTCGACCATCGATTCCGGCATGGGCTACAAGACGCTAGTCCCCTTACTTCACTTGCTGTTAGGAAGATGATACTCTCGACCACATACTTTTGCAATGTGCTTATGCACGACAGGCGTGGCACGCATATTTCACTACACTGGCTGACTATGTCGGCATCCCCATAGTGGAGGACAACTTGGAGGAGTGGCGGCTTCGTGTGCGCCAAGCTTTGCTGAAACGAATGAGAAAGAGTTTTGATACACTATTTATTCTTATTGCCTGGAGCCTGTGGAAGCAAAGAAACGGGCAAGGGTGTTTGGTAATGTGACTTAGCAACACGATATCCCTCAATTTTTAAACCACATTCTTGACGAGGTTCAGACTTGGAGATTAGCAGGAGCTAGGTGTTTTCAAATCTTTATGAGAGAGTACCTTGTTTTGCTTCAGGCATATCTTGTAACATATTCTCTGCCTTCTGTAAAACTATGATACACAATTTTCGTACTCTAAAAAAATGGTCTTCTTCCCATTACTATTTTCATACAAATAGATACAAATGTGAATACGAATGTTATAGATACGAATGTAAAGCAAGTGTTACTTGAATATCGACACATATCGCATGTTTACTCGATTCAAAACAGATATGAATAATAGCGACATTTCATTATAGAAAATAAGTTAATAGCTATGTCACACAAAATAATCAATTTGCAGCATACAAAATAAGTCAATGATAGACATGTTTATGAATAAATACCACTATAATGCATAATAATTTGGGAGGTTTACATTTTTTTTTCCCTAACTTTGTCCCGACCTCATCTTTACCCCTAAATAAAAATAGTGCTCAACTTTGCCCCTCTTCCGTTAAGTGCGCTTATAGAAATGTAACGGTCAAAGGCCTTTGACTGGACGGAAAATGTACGGAAGGGCATTTCTATAAGAGCACTTAACGGAAGAGGGGCAAAGTTGAGCATTGTTTTTATTTAGGGGTAAAGATGAGGTCGGGACAAAGTTAGGGGGGAAATGGAATTGGCCCTAATAATTTTTAGGTTTCAAACCTTTTGTGGAACATGTTGGTAAAGGGGGGAATAATGTTTGACCTAGGCGGCCCAAGGGCGACCCAGCACCGTCGCCTTCCGGCCGGTCGGGATCCCCGTACCACCAGTGATGCTTCCATGTACTCCCCTCGGGAGCACTATGGTCTGGTTGTGGCCACGTCCACCCCTCGAGTGTTGGTTCTCCGAATCCCTGACACGTCGATGTAGATTGGATCGAGAAGGTTCAATGTAGGAGTCCGAGCCCTACACTCTCGCTCTCTCACACACACGCACACACTCTTCCTAGCTCGAATCAATATGACTCTCTTCCTCTATCTCTTCGGGCATCCTCTCTTACAAAGATAGCTTTTGGAGCCAAATATTGTTATATTGATTCATCAAAAGCCATAAAAACTCCAAAAGCACATATTTTGGAGCTTTTATGGCTTTTTGGTCAAAGTGGAAAACACTACAAAAAAATACACTTCCGTGATGATACGTGTTTGTCAAAGTAGGTCGCGTTTTTTGTCATGCATGTACATCCATGACGATTTTATGGCAGAATCAAGATAGTCATATATGTACTGTCGTAAAAGTGTTCCATGACATTACCAAAATTATCATCACGTAAGTGTCCACTTCCATGACGATAAATCGCGCGTCACGGAAGTGCTTTTGTCGAGGATGACCGACACGTGGCATCCACCATAATGGAACGTCGTTAAGCTATCGGGTCCGGTTTTGGATCCGATAACCCGTTAATAGCCCCGACCAATGGGGATTTTCCACGTGTAAAATCATCATTGGCTGGAGGAAACACGTGTCGGCTCAGCGTTGGGACAAATGTCATCCACTCATTGGATAGAAGGTGCCTATGATACGTCGACACGTGGCACGACCCAACAGAGGCCCATTCCTGTGAAAAGGCCGGCCCATGGAAAGCCTGTTAACGACATGTTCGCATATAGCCCATTTACAGCCCTCTAACCCAAGGCCCGTTACGCCCTATCTAAATTAGGCCCAGTAGCGTCATCTGGGCCATCCAATATGATTCCAGCCCATTTTAACTTTCGGCCCATGTATG